GCAGGAATATAATGTTCATGTTCATATTTTCTTCTTCCTCATGCTAGGATCCACTTGGGGTCATTTTTACAGGCCTGCTAACATGCTTTTACACCTTTACTCTTTCTTCACTGGTCTGTAGCTCCACGTTACTTCTGCATTTACTATATATGATGGCTTTTATGTGTGCTAGATACCATTTCTTTGTTTCCCCTAGAACCAGTTTTGTCCAGCTCCAGGTCTGCCTTTCTTTAACTGACCGCGGGCGAGTTGTTAATGGCTGTGGGGTCTCCAGTGCCACCCCTGTGCCCTGCCGCTTATCATCCCCTGCCTCTACTCCTCTACACTGCATCCTATGTCTCCACTTCCCAAGGCTCCCCTTATCATACCAGGCCTGTACTTCTCTACACTATATTGTTATGGTAGAGTCATAAAACCACGGTGGTATCATACAAAGATAAACAAAAGTAAAACAAATTAGCCATAGACACTAGCCCGTTAGAAAAACCGCTGTTACAACTAAAGCAAGTAGAAGAAAGCTGTGGGCAGGTCAAGAAAAGTTCAAACATAACAAGCCTGACAAGCCCTTGCAAACTCAGTGCAGAGGACGTGGATTTATTAGGCCAGGTCAGGGCATTCGAGGGAAACCAGAACAGGTTAGTGAAGCGTTTGAAAACGTGAGTCCTGCCCCAGTGTATCAGTGGGGTAAGCAAGAGGAGAGAGAAGGATGGTTTGAGTCAGAGGACAGTTCTGGCACAAGAAAAAAGCGGATATGAAGCGGCTGTGGTTAAATGCAGGTTAGAAACAGAAGAAAAGCACTTAGGATCTGGAACAGTAAGAGCAGTAAAGGCAAAAAATCTAAGTAGTTTTAAGATGGATTGCCGTCAGGTTAGAAAGGGAGTGTTTGGACATTATGTGGCAGGGACTGGACACAGTGCCGCAGGAAAGGCTTCTCCAGGCTTACTGATTTGGGGACAGGCAAAGGAGAGGAACCAAAGACAAGTTTTCACAAGACACTTACAGAATCTAAGTAACAGTCCAGCCCCCTAACCTGGATGACTTTTAACACACTCTTTGGAGGTTTATATATTCTGCATAAGATGAGGAGCCACAGGAGCTGTAAGAACATAGAAAGGGGACAAACCCCAAGCACTTAAAAATGCAATTCAAATCCCTCTACCTGGGAACTGCTCTTCCGTAAGCAGGTATGAGGTACTGGCCACAGTTATAATGTATTTCATTTCATGAACCATATTTTTGCACGGAGATTTTTCCACCGTTTCCTCTAGCATTCCCCTCTCATGGAGTCCACCTCACCCCAGCGCCTCCAACAAATGCGTTAGTAAAAGCATCAGTGCAGCTAGAAAATAACACCAACACCCCACATAAACCTACAGCTTCATCAAAGAGCTGCTGGGTTAGGCTGCTGTGGAGCTGAGGAACATAGGAAAGGATCCCAGATAAATTACCCTGATTTCTGTAAACCACGTCTTCCTTAGGTGTATTTCTATATGCAACTATTGCGCACATTAGAAGCTTCAAACATGTTTGTTCAAGCCGCTGTTTTACAGCTTGACCACAGCCTTGCTCTTTACAAAAGGAAGCAAAGCGTCAGAAGGTGGCAATTAGCTCTGTAGCCCCAAGACACACGTGGCTTTGGTAATTTTGTGGAAGCTCTCCATGATCTAGAAATGCCTGTCCTGGGGGGATGCAATTCCAGCCCCCGTTTGGGGGGTAGGCAGGGAGAGGAAGAAACTCTGGTCTAAAATAAGAATGCTAAGGAATGCTTTGGGATTTGAAAAGAAGAGAGGACAATGTCTCACCTTGCCCTGCCATGGTTTCAAGCCATTGGATGATGAGAACATTAGAAAACTAAAAAAAAAAAAAAAAAAAAAAAAAGACTATTTACAATGCATCTGTTCCTCCTCTATGCAAACAAAGCACGCGCATACACACATAATGCACAGCCATATGGATGCTTGAACAGATCCTATCCCTCTTCTCTACCTGTCATTGTTTGTATTGCCTCAGACTGCAAACCATTTGGTCATAAACAGTTTATTCCTATGGTTTTCCACAGCAGCAGGATGGCAGGGCTCCAGTTTTGTTTCGGTCTTGGAGTGACAGCTACGATGAACACACTACACAAAATAAAAACCTCCATAATTTAGTAACGTGGCACTTCATGTAAACACACATGTGAGATCCAGAGGAGACTCAGGCAGAGCCTGTGATACTCCTGTCTCCAGAAACGGAGAATATCCTGACTATGTGCAGTTTCTCAAGAAAAGAACGTGTGTGCAATTGTCATACTGCCCAATAGACTTATTTGTTCATTTTCCGTCTCTGAAGTGGGGATGTGCATTTCCCACCTCATAGAGATGGAAAAAACCCCCAGTGACTTTCTTTTCCTGCTCTGACTGCCAGGCGACTGTCAGATCAAGGGATTAAGATACATTTTCCTCAGGATCCAGCCAATCTCATCTGGCGTCGCACACAGTTATTTGTAATTACTTTTCTTTTCCCTTAAAGCCAACATAACTTTCCCCTAGAATTAGAGTCAGTTATACTTCTTAATGCGGAAAGCAAATGGTTTTTAACATTAAGTTCATTCTGCTCTTAAAAATAATTAATTTTCAGCACCGAAGGGAGAACAAACAACTTCATACCAGAGCGATAATATAACAAAAAAGGACTACAGTACCGAGGCAAAGGTCCTGAGCAACAAAAAGATCAGAGTTGATTTTTTTTACATTCAATTTTAATATTTAGCATCTTAAGGCAGCACTCGGTATACATCTTGAGAGGTATGCTAGACTTAACAGGGCTTAAAGATCTGGCTGTAAGTGGCACTGCCATGAAGCAGAATACCCCGAGCACTCCCTGTCTCTCGGGGAAGGGAAAAAGACTTTTCAGCCATCTTTCCAGTAAAGCCGTCCCAGCCTGGCCCACACACATGACTTTCTATCAGTGCGATGAGTATGTGGCAGCTGAAATGCAGAGATATCGATGGGTAATTTTATGAGTGCTTCTGCCAATAGATGCTTCCACGATGTATTTGATGGAGGGAGCGCTGAGCAACGCTGAGCGTCTACGACACCGCCTCAATTTACTGGCATGAAAAAGTGCTCAGGACCTCTCAGGATGTGTCCTCACTGACAAAGACTGAAATGCCCTTTTCAGCTTGCTGGGAAGAAAAATAATAAAAGGCAAAAGCAAACCCTGAAGCAGGGTAAGGTTCAGAGAATGCCTGTAAGACTGTGTAGTTAAAAGTCATGATTAGCAGACGAGTCCTTGGCATCCGCAAGCTCTGACTCCCTCTGATTGAAGACAGCGTTGTCACTTACTCGTGACTCATTTCCTAATAGGGAAAAATAAATAACAGCGGAATCCCCAAATACCTATTTTCAGCCTTCTGATTAAACTGAGGATGTGGAAGAAGAAATGTCTCCTCTCTTGAAAGATGACAACAAAGGAATGAAATGTTCAAATATCTAATATGGATCAGTTCTTCCAAAAAAAAAAAATAAAAATTTGAAAGCCGAATATTGAACAGGTCCAGCTGGCCCTGTCCCAAGCAGTGGGGATCTGCTATGCTCCAGAATGGCCTGAAGATCTATTTCTGCAAGCACAGGATTATTTTTTTTTTTTACAGCTTGCTTAAAATCCGAAACCACTCCTGGATGGAAAGGACACTGTAAGTGCTACTGATGTTACCGTGCTGGCGGGGATGGAGGGGGGACGTGTCAGCAGAGAGGGAAATTGGGGCGCTCTGCATGGCCAAACGTAAAGGCAGAGGCGATCCACCAGCCTGTAGCAGGTGTGTCCACCCCGGTGACTGCGCCGTGGTTCCCGTTGGAAGGAGGCAGGGTGAGTTTCCTTATGTACATAGATTTAGCAAATTGAGATTATTCAAGAAAAATTAGGATTCCGATTTTGAATGCTGGATCTCGGCACTGACCTAAATGAAAGGCATCCAAGCCTTTAAATTCATCTATCGCGGGATACAACATTGCCTTCAGGTCTTTTAAAAAAGGCTCTACCACAAAGCAGCGAAATGGAAAACACTAAGAAAAAATAATAAAAAGTCTGCAGATGTTCTAAATTACTCATTACCGACACACATAACCCTCCCCGCTCAATCTGTGGGCACCATAATTTTCGTCCTCCTTCTCCCCCTCGGGTTATATAATGCTTCGCCTATTTACTTTCGTTGAAGTCTGGTAGCAATAGAATTGACCCCGGGCCAGGCAACCTTTACGCAATGTGGGGCCAGCGGTGGCCAAGCCGCTTGCACCTAGCAGCTTAACCACAGGCAGAACCACGCTGTATCCGGCCCCTCGCGGCCACGCACTCGCGCGCGAGGCTGCTGCGCGCTGGCACAAAGGCGTTGCCGCTAAACAATGCTTTTCTCTCCTCCACCCTCAGATTCTCGTTTTCCAGTGGTAACGCAGAAGAAAGCATAAATAAGCATTTAATACTGTTAGTTCAGCCTCACTCTGCAGAACTTGAATATCTTCCTCCCACTCTTTTTTTTTTTTTTTTAAATAACACTGAAACGTCCCCACCAGCCAGTGCACCAAGGGAAGCCAGGTTAGTGGCTCACAAAAAGGAGCTGGGCTTTTTGTTTCCAGTCTGGAGAAAGAATATGAGCCTGGATTGCGAGGCAGCTTGGTGTAAGGGAACTCTGGCTACAGAGAGCTGGGCAGAGACCAAGGGACAGGGACAAACAGCGGGGTGCACTCAGTTTTTAAAATGTAAAAATGCATAAAAGCACTCCTGTAGGTACAGGATCCCACCGGCACCGGCAGCCACAGAATAACCATGACAACTAGGACTTGACATTACACACAAGCAAGTATTTCTAACGGTATAAAGCAATACCAGAGAGCAGCCGTACTGAGCTCAATCAGTGTATACCACAAAGTACATATACACACCGTGCACTCACAAGGTACGGCACAGCCCGCACCTAAAATATGGGCTGTTCAGCTGGAAGAAGGTTTTCAAGGGGCTGCAGATAATGAGAAAGAGGAGTTTAATGTGGTAGATGCTAGTTTTGGTCCCTACATGGCTGTAAGCGTCAAGATACCCCCTCAGATGCTAGCGGAGATCAGCTGGCAGTCACGGGGATGGGAGCACGGCCTCATGTGAAGGCTCAGGAAGGGTCCCTGGTAAAGCACCTCAGGACCACTGATGGAGAGAGCAGAGCAGCAGAGGCACTGGTCACTGGAAAGCTGAGCTCGCAGGAAGAGGACTTCTGCAAGCAAGGTGAGTCAACAGCTCAGGGCTTTAAAATGCCAAGCCTTCCATTACAGGAGCGGCAAGGAGGAAGGATTTATTGCAGATGGCATTTCTAGAGGAAAATAATTTACCTTAGCCTTTTAATGTTAAGCAATGCATACAGAGCTTGCTAAAAAAACACCCCAAAATGACGTGAAATATCATGGTATTATCTTTAGGAGAAGATTAGTTGACTGAGCTTTTGCTGTTTTGTTCAGACCGCAAGGTCTGGATGATGCATTAGGAAGCATACTTTTGGAATCATTTTTTCCTCAGGCACGACATGTAAAGGTATGTCTAGAATGTATGCCTATGGATGTCTACCATCTTCACATTATCAACACAATGTATCAAACTCTGTTTTTTTCCTTATTTTTACCTTTTTTTTTTCTTCCCCAGTGGTGATAACATCAAGGAACTGGAAGACTTGGGTTCAGCATTACAAGAAGCACTAACCACGATCTCTCTGAGCTGATCTGGCTTCCTCCTGACAGCCCTCCAAAGTTAATACAAATATGAAACTCACAAACACTGAAATAAAGAATATGGAGAGGATCCTAAGCCCAAAATTGAGCTATGGATCCCCTCCAGGCTCAGGAATGTTTTGTGTTTCTTCCAGTTACCCAGGCCAGGTCTTCAGCTGCTGCAAATAAGCAGCAGTGGGGTTGCTGTGCCCAAGCTCCTGTTCCTCATCGTCTCCAAGGAAAAGGCACAGAGCCAGGCCCCGCCGCAGGTCAGCTCCAGCCCACAAGCCGCCAGCTGCAGCTCCGTGGTCTCTGCCGACCACGGAGCATTCGCAAAACTCTCTGCCGAGCTTCCTGCCATCCCAGCGGGGACGGCGGGGAGGCAGCCGGGCTGCCAGGGCGCCCGCAGAGCGGAGCCCACCACGAGGCTGGGTGCTGCGCCAGCCCCACCGCGGCTCCGAGTTGGTGCAGCAAAGGGGCAACGCTGAAACTCAAGGTACGGGGCGGCTGCCCACGGCTTTGCGGACAGACAGGCTGATGGGGAGGCTCTCGGCAGGGAGAAGGGGAGCCACGAGCAGTGCTGCAGACCCAGGCAGGAGAAAGGAAAATGAACCCCATGTTTCTTTGCTTGTGCCAGCCTCGCACGTCCCTGAGACGTGTAAGCACATACCACCTCCCCCTCGCGCAGATCCAGTCGCTGAGGTCCCCAAAGGACTTAAACATCAACTTCCCGGGGAGGTCCCCTTAATCTTTGTTTATAAAGGGGGTAAACAGAAAGGTTAAGAGAAATGCCTGTGATCTGACTTTTTGGAAAGGCAGAAGTTAGCTGCTGCAGAGGAGTGCTGAAAACACTCACACTCTTCTCAAAAATAAACAAATCAGGAAAATTAGGCTGTCATCTGTCAAGTAACAAACTAGTATCAAAACAAAAAAGTTCAACCCAGGGCCCTCAAGTCCTTCTCTAGCTATCTGGTAGCATTTAACGCTTTCCCTAAACACCACAGATACACTAGGGATTTCTCTATAAAATATAGAGTCTGGCATGCAGTGGACCTTGTGTATCAAAGATTCAATAGCACACAAGTCTCCAAAGGGAAAGCATTAGATGGACACAGGGAAAGCATTAGATGGACGCTCAGGATGTTTAGCTTCAGATGTCAGACCAATTTAAAATTAAAACCATATCACCAGTATTTTTTCCAAGAATGGCATATAAAAGTATGCATCTAGGGCGGGGGGGGGGGAGGAAATCGGTAGAGAAACCTGACTTGAATTTGCAAAGCCCTAAGAAGCATTGCAAACAATGGAGATTAAAGAAATTAAACTCTTTCAAAAGAAAGTAAAGCTTCTGACTCTAAAGGAGTTTTAATCCTAGGCACGTTTGGTTTCTTTTCATTCAGAGCTTGAGCCAAGCCACAAAATTTGGGTCTGACTATTTCCCAAAGTTCAGAGCCTTTTGAATCCAAAGATTTTGGTTCGGATCCAGCGCTAATGCTGTTATTGTATGGGTCAAATGTCTTATGATGATGATAGTAAACAGCAAGAGAAAGCTCTCCGACTGGCCAGGGCTCCCTCTGCCAGTTAATCACAGAAAATGTTCACAACAGTGGAATGAAGGATGATGCTGTGGATACCAGAACTGGCCACAAATACTGTAGCACTTACGCAGCACATCAGTGAAGTAGTATCTGTACCCTAGGTTAAGAAAATTCAAAGGCTGGAGCAAAAATGCCTATTAACTACTGCTATTGAGGTGTCAAAAAGAGCCCTCAAGCTATTGTTGTATTCAAACCTACTCCTCACCCCATCACTTTTGGCCATCTGCTTTCAGAAGGTACCATTCATATGTCTATGCAGATGAAGATATCTTCCATTCCTCTCCCACCGCCGTACCAATACTGAGTGGAAGGGAGCAAAGATCATGCACAATTGAACTGAATTTGAATTAAACTGCATATAAACTCTAGGGTGAAGGGAATGACTGACAAATGTGGAACGGCCCTGTTTCCTGCAAGGACAGAAACAGGAGAAACAGCTACGAGCAGGGACTGCTTTAAAAAAGCATAAGAGAGGCACACAAACCTGAAGAATGTATCACAGCAACAACCACATACAGAAGCAAATACCTGCTCTTCTGTAGAAGCATAAGCTTTCCTATGAAGATCTTAAAGCACTTCTAAAATGTCTTACGATGCATCCATCCTGGTGGGAAACCAGGTTCATTGCCATTTTATCAACAGGGAAACAGAGGCAAAGGTGACAAGATGCCTTGCTACAGGCTCAGCAGGGCACTGATGGAGCTTGGGCATGAAGCAGAACCGGACCTCTCCCCAGCCCCTTCACTACATACCACTAATACTTCCCTAGATGAGACCTAGCTATAATATAGGAAAACCACAAAAACGTCAGTTGCCTGAAAACTTACTCATCAGTAAGCCCAAACCATGGCGTCTAAAACCTAATCGCTTGGCTTTTGATTTCATTTTTATGCATTAGCAGGAGTGCAATTTTTAAATCTTACTTTAACTGGTGAAGCTCTCCCTGCAATAAGCTGATTCAGTGGAGGGTCTCTGCCCGCACCCAAGTGAAGAGCTTGACCTGGCGAGTACAAATGAACTTTGTATGTTCATAAATGGCTTTGTCTGCAGGAACAAGTTGTTATGGTTCATTTTAAAACCCTGAAGGAGGCACAGGATGTCTAAGGAAAACATACTGTAGGGCTGAATGAATGGGGCATCAATTTCCTTGACAGAGATGTCCTGCCTGGCTGCTTTGCTCTTCTTGTATTTTTGATACACAGTTTGGTGCCTTCATTCTGTGATAGTGGGACCTCTGCCAGGTGTTGCTACAGACATTCATGGTGAATGGCTTCAAGTGTGAAATCAACCCAGTTTTCTCTTTTTACAGAGCAGGGAACTCTCTTTGTGATCCAAATAAACCTTGAAGAAGGCTTCAAGCCAACTTCGTCACTGTTTGTTCTTACGTAACTGGACTAGGAACACTCGGTACTCAGAAGTAACAACAATTCTCCTGTACACCTAAAAAACTACATTTACTTTGAACTTATCAGCAGCAAAAGCCTGTCATCTTTGGACATCATCCACTAGAACTGCCCAAGACAACTTATCTATTATTTTTGTGTGCCAGCAACAATGGACTTGATATTGTCTGCGTTTATCAGAAAGGATTTGTTACCCGAGATGCAGATAATAAAAAACAATTCCTTGCCTAGTGGGTCCAAACATTTTTCTGCTGAACTAAAGTGACTTTTTATATCCACACATGAAATCCATGGCTTTAAGAATCCAAAGCAATAATACTCTGCATTCATTCTTCAGGGCACAGATGAGCACAACCAAAACCTGTCCGCAGGGACCACCTTCCACCTTTCCTTCTGGTTATAGCAAACAATACAGAAGCCGCAGTCACCTCTTGCCTCCACGCTGATGTTCTTTCAGATGGCACCACATCCTAAATAGCTGTGTTACCCTCGGCACCAGAATCACACCCAGTTGGCAGCAGGAGCACCTGAAGATTTCAGGCTCGAGCACTACGGGACTGAGGTCCTCCGGGAGAAGCTCCAGCACGATGGATCCTGCCAGCATCAGCTCCAGCCCAGACAGTGCTGCCACCAAGGGACTCCCACAGCCAAATCCCCTCCCGTGCCTGCCACGGTCATCCTGACCACTACAGGCTTAGCCTAAATCCTGGCTGGAATCCACTGCTAAAAAATATAGGAGAAAAAAAAAAAAAAAGAGGAGGCAGGTCTCCCTCTCCTCCGCACCCAGCCAAAGGGAGCTGGGCAGAAATGGGCTCAGGCAGCTCAGGGGAGGCTTCACACCACCCAAGTTAAATATCTGACTTTGGGGTCATTGGAAACACAGCGAGTGAAGAAGCTGCATTTCCCGTCAGGGCGCTCCTGGTACGGGAGTCCCCAGCGGTGTGGGATGGGTGCCTGCAGATGGGTGCTTTGAGGGACCTCACTGGATGCCTGGCAGAGCCTACGGCAGACTGGATGCCCTGCAGCGAGGCAGCCCTGATTTCAGACAACAGAGAGCAGCTGCTTGCCAGGTATCGCAATTGCTCTTAAATTGCTGGTTTGTTTTTTTCCCCTTAGTGGCTTACAAAATCTGACGAGCATCTGTAAGCAGCTGCCATCCTGAGCCAGCAAAGGCACTGCAGGGTGACCCTCAAGCACAGGCTGCTTCTGGGCAAGCTGCGAAGCCAGGCTCTCCTCCTGAAGCTGTTAACAAATTTATAACTGCTCCAGACCAGGCACAGAGGGAGAACTGTAACACGTACTCACCGCCGGGTTACGCATACACAGCCGAAACTGCTGGGTGACAGTCAAGCACAAGTCCCAGAATGTTTAACCTGCATAAAGGGCTTTAAGTTTAAAATGAAATGAAATAAAAACAGCATTTAACTGCACATACAGCTTGCTACCACCTCTGGTGGCCAAGCCAAAAGTATTAGGTAGAGTTAACTTTGGCTGACACCGCAGCATTTACTGTTTAATTTCCTGATACTTAAAAAATAATTTTTTAAAAATATCTGTATCTTGAATATATCTGTGTTACTGGGAACAGCTCCTTATTTCTTTAACAACAGCTGTGTTTTTTAATTCACATTTCACAGATTTTTCTCCTTCTAAACTCAACTCCATACAGCAGCACCCACAGCATCTTGGCAAAAAAACCTCCCTCCCTTGGACAAATGTGTCACCAGACATTTCTGGCAGGCTGTCCTCTCACAGATAACCAGCACGCCGAGCTAAGAATAGGATTAGCTGCTTCTCTGGCTACTTTGTCCAGGTGCCTGCAGAAGGTCACTTGGTGTGGCAGTTCAGCTTCCTAGAGGGAGAATGCAGGACTGGGCTCTATCTCTAGCAAATTATTAGGAAGCATGTGGAAGCATGTGTGGGTGTTTGGGTCAAACACATCAAAAAAAAGTGCTAAGCATCAGACTTCAGCTGTCCGGTGATCCCTGGCTAGCGCAACAAAAAAACCAAACCCTTCCCAAATATTTTATTATGGGACAGTCAAAACATTACACCTTCCTCAGTCACCTGGCTCTAGTTAATGTCACAAAAAAATATCCAGATTAGAGAGATCAGCAGTACGGTCCAAGACACGACTTCTTTTTAGGTACAATTGCCTACAATTCTTATGGGCCTAATACAATACACAAACATTCCGCATTATATATATAATTAAAACCACTTCAGGCAAACAAGTTAAGCCTTCACTGGAGAGCCAGATGTAGTGCAGGTGTGCTCAAAAGATTCCTGAGTAGTATTTATCATAAAACATTTACAAGAGTCCTAAAGCTTTGTGGTCTTTTGTGGAATTCTGCAAAACATCACTTTTTTTTTTTTTTTAATTGTGAATATATCAAGTGGCAGGAGATAAAAGGTCGTACTCCTTGAAGAGAAGCCTGTGGGGAAATAAGGAGAGAGAGGCCTTGTACGGGAATCAAGCATTACAAAAGGCACAA